ATGGCAGCAACACATTTTAAAATGTTGGGACTAGAGCAAAAACAAACACGGTCAGCTGGCAACAGGTAGAGAGGCTGAATCTCTGAAGTAAAAATGGGCAGAGCTTTGCCCGTCAGTGACAAACTGGAAACAGAACAATTTTAGATTCATGTTCCTTAACAAAAACATTTTTATCATCTACAATTCATACATTTTTCAGATGATTTCAAGAACCTGGAGAAATCTCTGAGCTCTAAGATCAAAGCTGAAAGTCAAATTTGGACGTCCTGTCATGAATTACAAGGGGGACCTTGAAATTCAACCACAGGAGTGAGCGACAAGATTTACTTAAATGTTTTATCAGGAGGTGAACTCCTGAGGGAGAAAGTCAGCTGTAAAGGCTGTAGTATACTCGGGCGTATGTCAGTCCGCGCATACCGGATTAGAGTCGAAGCAGACATCCGCAGGGCATGTCCGTGCAAGGATTAATTTTTACGACCGCGTACGCGTACTCTGTGTTGCACAATAAACTGCCTGGCGACGGACTGTTTTGTATGCGACACCACTGTATTGAATTCCCCTTCTTCATCCCTGATCTGGTTTAATGGCCTTTTCTTTTGTTTTGTTTTCCCAGAGGCAAGTGATTTCTTCCTCCTTCGTTGATGCCATGACTGAAATAGTGAGAAATGAAGGAATTTGTCACGAGCAAATTAAACTCGGGTCTAGCGTGGCTGAGGAAGAGTCTGGAGATTTCCTGGTGGACTGGTCTGATGTGCGCAGGTCCACCGCTCCCACTTTTTTTTTTTAGAACTTTTTATTAACAACATATAAACACAGCTCCTGGGCCTACCAGCTGTCTTTTTTTTTTCTTTTTGAGACTTGTCACTCAATCCAGTAGGCGTGTCAGCAAATGACCAGTCGGCGACCTCAATTTGTCCCGAAGGTAAACGCCCCTTGCCTGCGGAGCTGGGCTGCAGCCCATCAGGGTGGATGCTCGAGTATGAAGTCTCAACACTCTGCGGACAGTGCACGTCAAGTCAGCGCGGAAGAAGGTCCGTGTGAGTATACTGGAGCCTTAACTCTGCAGAGCTTGATCACAGCTGGAGATGCAGAAGCTGCTATGATGTCAGAGGGAAGGGAGGTTTGGAGGGACAGCGGTAAAACCGGATCAAGTGATCTGCGAGTGTAGCCTGGAAAGTCCGACAAACAAACTTCAGGTTGCGGAGTTTGCTTCTGGAAACTCACAACTCCTAGAGTCTGGGGTCTGAGATTGTGGGTATGGAGACTCGTCTGTGGTGCGTGTTGCACGCTGTTTGTTCCGACAGTTTCCAATCAGGTGGTCAAAGGAAACTGCTCAGCGTGAGGGAAGCGGAACACCATCTCTGTAGCTTTTTATCTAGCTAGCTTAGCACTACGTTGGTGAAGGCAGTTGCCAATTGTGGGGGGTGGAGGAAACGGTTCGGTAGTAGGAATGGGGCCGATCCGATCCAGTATCCGTATCGGGCTCCCATACCAGCATAATTTACGTATTGGATTTTCCGATCCAACTTGCCGATATTTCCGATCCATGATGCATGTCTGTGGTTGCTCTGCACATTGGCTTCAAACTATGGAATGGATTTCCTGAACGGAGGCG